CTCCACCCAATGCAACGCGCAGGCGGGGCACGGCGTGCGATGGCGCATGGACTTATACGTTGCCGTCCATGGCCGGCGCGTCGGAATACGAACCGCTCTCAGCAAGGTGCTCCGACAAAGCCACCTCCTGTTTGAACCGCGGGGAAGTGAAGGTAATGCTTAAAAATAGCTATGAGCGAGCGCCATTTGCCCAGCGCGGCGATCTCCTCGAGCGATTTCCCGCCCAGAAGAAGGTCCCTCGCGCGGCCCCTGCGCAAGTCGCGCGAACCGAAAGCCCCCGCGTCCGCCAACCCGGCGGCGGGCAGGGCCGCCCGCAGGGCGCGCCGCATTTGCGCTGGCGACGCGGCCGCCCACGGCGCAGCCCCCACGGGCAGAGCCGCCAGCCAGTGCCCCGCGCCGCGCACTGGGCACGCGCCTTCGCCACATTCGGCGCAGGCGCATGCACGCCACATCGTGCTCACCCGCGGCCTGTTTTTCCGCGTGGAGAGGCGGGCGCCCATTGCGCGGTCGCCGCAGACAACTACCGGCGTCTGTGCGGCGGGGAAATCGCCCGCGCCGCCCCACGCCAGGGGCGTCCCTTCGCTGGGGACGCGCAAGAGAAAGTGGTAACTGATCTCGAAGAGCGCGTGCCAGCCCGCGCTCGCGCTGGCGCCAGCTGGCTCTCGGGCCACGCGCTTGAGGGCCGGCAACTGCATGAACCGCGGAGGCCGGCGCGGCGTCGCGCGCCGGCGCTCGATGGCCGCGCGGGCCCGCCTTACCGCGCGCCCTCGGGACGCGCTCGCGCCCCATTGGAGCAGCGACGACACAGTGCACAGGCGCGAGCATACGGTGGCGAATGTGCCCGAGCAGCGAAAACGCAGGCTGAAATGCAAGAGCTGCGCCTCTGTGACGGGGAAGCAGCGAGCCTGGCCACCGCCCGCAAATGCGCAAAATTCGAACCAGCGCCGCACCGCTGTTTTAATATCGGCCGCGGTGCGCTTCGCGCACGCGAGCGCAGCCTGGGCGCGCGCCTGTCTGCGCCAAAGTGCCTTACCGTCCGGCGACGCCATAGACCGTTGCAGCGCGGCGATCGTCGCCCTGGGCCCGTCTGTGGGAGCCTCGATTGGCGCACTGCCTGCGCGGTCGATCGCGGCCAGCACTGCCGCCAGCGATGGCTGGGGCCGCGCTTTGCTGGCGCTAGAGGACGAGCCTGAACTACCAGAACTGCTGACACTGCGTTCGCGTCGCCCCTTCTGGCGCGCGCGCTCCGGCGAGCGGCTGCGCTGCCTGCCCGCGCCCACGACAACCGGCTGCCGCGCTGCGGCCGCCGCAGACCCGCGGGCGACGAGCCGCGCGGGCGCCTGCGCGCCAGACGCTGCTGCTGAACGGTACCTGCCGACGACGCGCGCGCGCGGAGCCCCGCCCTGGAAACCAGAAGCCGCCCGCGGTGCCCGGGCGGCGGCGCCGAAGGCGGCCTGGGCCGTTGGGCACGCGCCAGCCATTGGATTGACTGCCTGCATCCCTCGCTTGCTTCGGCAAAGCCACTCCAGCCATTCGTCGGCACCGCCTCGCGTGCCGGCTTCACGCCCCACGGTGACCATACGTCGTTGCGCGCCAGCACGGCCTCCAATTCTGCGATCAACGAAGACGGCGCCGCGGGGGAAACGCCCCGCAATTGCGTGGACAACGATGCCATGACGTCCGCTGCGCGCTGCCTACACGCGACCTTTGAGGCGCGCGCGAGGACGCGCGGCACGGGCCCGCCGCAAGCTGCGGACGCACGCGCCGCCCCGCTAACTAGCCCATTCGCAAACTGCGCCACGCGCTGGGCGCGGCCAGCTCCTCGTCGAGCGCCGGTGCCACCCGCGCGGCCCCGATCGCGCCCATCAGGCCATGCGCCTCCCTAGAAGGCGGATCCGCAATGTTCTCTGCGGAAGGCACTCGGTCGACCCAGAGCTGCGCGGACAGCTTGGCCGCGCGCAGCCAAATTGAGTGCACCAGGCATGCGTGGCCCCACGCACGCGCCGATCCACGGCGCGCCCCGCACTCGGCGCCCGAATTGTCGTAAAACAACCAAATGTGCTTTCCCTGAAGCATGCTGCCGAAGGTGCAGAGGGCAAAAGCGATAGACAGCAATTCGAGCGACGTGATCTGCCCGCCCCCGCGCGGCCGAAAGTGCCGCAGGAAGCGCGCGGGCGGCTCCACGTCGGGGTACCACACGCGCCCATCGGCCACGAGCACGCGCCCATCGGCCACGCGCATCCACGAAAAGCCACGCGGGAGCTGCTGGCGCCTGCGCGAAGCCGCGCGTCTGCGCCAGGTTGAGGCGCAATACGTCCCCCCACCATTCCAGCGCCGCATCCACGTCGGGACTGCATCGCGCTGAATACGCGTGACTCTGCTTGAACAGCGGGCGCAGCATCGCACGGCCGAGGTGGTGAAACATGCGAGTGGCGCCCCAGGACAAGCCGCCCGCAAGCTTGGCTGCCTGCCCTGGCGCCAGCATGCCGCGCGCGCGCGCCTGCCGCAGGGCCGCGCGCCACTTCGAGACCTCATCCGCGGAGGCTACGCAATGCATCCCGGCGCTCGACAAGTCGACCTGGACGCCCAGGACGACGAGCGACGCGGCGCACTCCAGCTCGGCGCCGGCAATTGCCGACGGCCCCAAGATTGCGCGAATCACGCGCGCCGCGCACGACATAGCGCGCTGCGCGATTTCACGGTAGCATGCCGAGAATTTATCGTCGACGAAGCGCAGGAGCGGAATGAACACAAGGCGCCGCAAGATAGACACGAGGGCCGCGCCGATCCGTTCCCAGCCGTAACCGCTGCTCCGACCTCCGAACGGGAGCGCCAAGTGATCGGCCACCATGCATCCGCCTTTGTACAACCATGCCACTCTGGCCGCGCGCCTGTCCTTCGGCGCGAGCGGGATGCGACGATATGCAGAATCAACGTCCGCATTAAACAAAGCGAGACCTTCGCCGCCATCGCCGCTCGCCAGTGCGGCGCACAACGCGCGCAGATGATCGATTGCATCGCGCTTTACGCGTTCGGGCAAGGAACGCGCCGAATTGACCCCTGATCGCGAGAGGTCATCCACGGGGCGAACTTTTATTTGGCCGTTCTCGCGGACTTGGGACACGCCAAATCGCGGAGAGATAATTGCCTCGCCGAGGGCCGCGCGATCGAGCACCTTTGGCGCCGAGATCCTGCCAGAGGCCACCTCGCCGAGCGCCTTCTGCATTAGGCTCTCCTCGTGCGGGTCTTCGCGCAGCGAGCGCAGGGTGTCCAGATTTGCTTCGCGCGCCCGCCCGAAAAGGGCTTCAAAATCGCACACCTCGCCCTGCGCGATGTCTTCACCGATACCTGCGCGGGACAGCTTGCCGACAATTGGCGCACCCGAACGAAAGACCTCGGCGCACTCGGCATCTGGGTGCTCGGCCCTGGCCACCAACTCTTCGAGGAGCGGGCTGTTCACGTCGGCCGAGACGGGGCGCACTTGCGACTCGCACCCCCGAAACCATCCTGACACAGCGCCGCTGCTTGCAAGCCGGCGGCCGCGCGCCTCGACGCGGCGCACGTGCGCTTCACGTTCGCGCATGACCGAACCAGGTGAACGCGCGCGCATCCATGCGACGGCGGCACGCAAATCGGGCGCCAAGGGCGCGCCCGCGCAGCCAGGAAGTGGCTTCTTTGTAGCAGACTGCGCGAAAAAACAATTTCGGCTGGTCAGCTTCCGCCACAGATGCCGCCGCGCAGCCCTGGAGCGAAGGACAGAATGCCGGCGGCGGCGGCGGTGGCGCCTTGATGCGCGGGCCATTCGCCCGCTCGACCTGACGCGCGCCGGAGGGTTCGCGCGCGCCCGAAAAGCACGGACGCTCCTGCCTGTACTGGCGGGCTGGGCGGCTCCGGCAGCGCGCTGCCGTTCGCCGCCCACGCCTGCCGCGAAATGGTGACGGGGGGGGGCGCGCCCACGCGCGCGCGCGCGCCCGCTCGCCGCGCAGGCGAGAGCCCCTGGCGGCGCCGGCCGTGGCGGCACATCGTGCGCCGTCTTCTGCCGCTTGGGCGGCGGTGGCGGCGCCGGCACCCGACCCGGCGGCCGCGGCGGCGGTGGCAAAAAAGACGGCATGAAGACCTCGGTTGCAGTGACCCGCGAAAGAAATTGTTGCCGCGCGCGCCCCTGCGCTGCGCGCCCACGCGGGCCCTTGTCGCGCGCCGCGCCCAAGCGGAAACGCGCGCGCAAGCGGCGACATCCTTGCGAAGCGAGACACGCGGAACCTCCATGACAAAGCAGCGACGCAGAAATGAGGCCAGGCAACGCGCGAGGGCCTGGCCTCGGAATGTGCGCACGCGTGCCCGTGGGAGCCACCGGGCATCAGCGCGCCCCCTCGCGCGCGAGCGGCCATTCGCCACCGCTCGATCACCTGCGCGCGGCGCAGGTGCCGGCGCAGCGCGCGCGCGCCGTGCGAAAACTGCGGCGCTCTTCCCCGCCGCCCGGGGCGGCGTCCTGACCCTGCGGTCGCCGCTGCCCCGGAAGGAATCTCCCTTGCCTGAGCCCTTGGCGGCGTCGCCTTTATCGCGCTTGCCCCTGCCTTTACCGCGGCTGCGGCTGCGGCGGCCATCGCCCTTGCCGCCGCCGCCCTTGTCGCGCTTGCCCTTGCCGCTGGGCCTGCGCACGCGGCGCATCGCGCTGCGCGCGGGCACGGCGGGGCACGCCAGACTTGCCTCTCGGCCTTGTCGTAGATCTGCTCTGCGAGCGCCAGGAGGTCCGGGTCCTTTTTGCAAGCGGCCTCGTTCACCTGCGAAGAAACAACGCGACCGCGCGACCGGCAGGCCCGCGACGAGCGCCTTGAAGTCGGGAGCTCCCGCGGCTGCTTTCTCCGACCACGAGCGCCTCGAGGTCTCGTCATATACAATGCCGACTTGCGCGCGCCGGCCGCGCAAACTCGCAGCCATGGCCACCTGCGCGCGTCGCGGGGCACCATGCGCGCCGGCGCACGGGCGCCCACGCGCGTCACCTCGAGGCAATTTTTCTCGTGCGCTAGTGAAGCACCGTACTCGAGCTGGCCCACCGCAGCGGCGGCGAGGGCGCGCCTCGAGGCCCGACGCGACGCCGCGCAAACAGGAGGCGCGGGAAAGAAGCGGCGGCCACCCGTCGATGGCCAGGTGCCACTGGAGCCAGCCAAGGCCCTCCACGCCCCCTTTGCCTGACTCGGCACCGTCGGGCGCCGTCATGCCCTGCTGTAGCCACAATTTTAAATCCGCGAAGATGAAAAGCTTTGCGACGCCTCACGCACCGCGCGCGAGCCCCGAGCGAACGGCGCCGCAACGCGGCGACGGCGCTGACGCGGGCCCGCCCTTTTTCGTCGCACGAAGCGCTTCGGTGGCCAGCCAGTCGACGCGGCAGGACCTGCGCGCGCGGCGGAAGGCGACCGCACTGCTGCTGCGGGGGACACGCAGCGCCTTGGCCACACCTGCGCTGGCACAGATGACATGCTCAGCTCGGCAAATTTGCTCGCAATGTCGACGTGCGTCGTCGGAGCGTCGGGGCGCAGGAGTGCCGACAGCGCGCGCAGCGGGTCGCTTGGGGGCCCCTCCGAGCCCGGCGTCGGGGTCGCCCCCTTTGTTCCAAGTGACGGAGCGCAGGAAACCGCGGAGAGCGCTTGTGTCCGCCATGGGACCTCGATCGGCGCGTAGGGGTGAACAAACTCCCTTGCGCGCTGCTAGGGGACTGCGGCTAAAAGCCTGTGGCCTGTGGCCTCTGGCCAACGGCCTGTGGCCTGTGGCAAAACGCATATGGCCCGTGGCCTGTGGTACGTAAAAGCCTGTGGCTTGTGGCCTGTGGTTGAGAGCCTGTGGCCCGCGGCCTGTGGCCAGTGGCAAAACGCCTGTGGCCCGCGGCCTGTGGCTAATGGCTAAAAGCTCGTGGCCTGCGGCCTGCGGCAAGACGCTCGCGGCCCGTGGCCTGTGGAAAAGCCCCAACGCAACGCGCAGCCCCCTCTCTCCCCGCGCACCTGCCGCGGCGCGCGCTCGGGGGTCGCGCGTCGCCTCGCCCCGCGACTTCGCGCGATTCGTCCCTCGTCGATGCTACCCCGCGAAAGCCCCGCCACCAAACGGCGCCCGCCGCCCCGCCGTTGGCGCCCGCGGCCCAGTAGAGCCTGGCGAACTTCTTTTCCCGAGCCATGGCGACAGGACGTTTGTTTGTCCCCGCCCCGCCCCGAAGACGGCGCAAGGGCGCGAAAAACCTCTCCGGGCGGGAACCTCCAGAAGGCTGAGGAAGGAGGGCCAGGAGAACAATCATCATTTGTTCAGGCAACCCCCAGCGGCTTCCGCAGCCAGAAACAGACCCGCAACGCCTTCGAGGGCCTGGTCGGACAACCGACTGAAATGACGCACGTGGAAGCCAGCCACAGAGACAGCGCCACCTGGTCGATGCGCTGCGCTGAGCCGCCTCAGATCGGGCGGGGAACGACGAGGGAAGGGGATAGACTGACTGCGCAGGCCCGCGAGAATGTTTTTCCCCTGTCCCACATCACGACTGGAAACGCTCGCCTTCGGCTCTCAACGAAGCGCAAGGGTCAACCCTGACTTCTCCCATAGCCGAAATCGTCGCGGCGGGGGCCCAAGGAGTCGGATCCACGGGCAAAAAGTCAGCTCTCCTTCCTCCTGTGTCCAGCCCTTCCTATATCCACCCCTCCGAACTGAGCTGATTGCCCCCGGCGATGGCCTTCCTGGCTGCTTCAAGCTCAGGCTGCAGATCCTCGAGGGGCAGGTCAAGCACCTGCAAGGAATAACCTTCCACCTGCGACGGGGGGCAGGTCTGCGTTCTGACGCGCAATTTTGACGGCAACCCAAGCTCCGCGCGGGAATGAGGAACGCGTGGGTCGCTTCCCCCGGCCAGAGCAGACTCTCTCTCCAAGTTGGGGAACTCGTCGGCTAGATCGCCAGCGCGCTGGGGTTATATATATATATATATATACAAACATACATACAAACATACATACATACAAAAATAAATAAATAAACGCGGCAAATGCTGCCTGCGCCGACGCAAGAAAGCGCGATGAACTGGCCAGCAACTTGCCTAGCTTCGGCCCCTGCCCGCCGAACTCCGTTTTCAGAGAACTGGGCTGCGCGCCCAGCCACTTGCGCCCTTTTTAAAATGGCCCTCGACGGGGGGAGCGCCCTTAAACGTAGATTTCCCGTGCGTAGACGCCACTTTCCCCCTGGGCCCGAACGCGAGGATCTCAGCACCCAAACTCACCAGCTCACTCCCTGAAGCTCCTCCCCAGCAGCGCGGTCTCTGACTGATTGCCAGACGGTCTTGCACTGTCACAGAAGAAATGAAAGCCCCTCATTCTTATCCACATCATTTATTTTCCTTCCACTCTGCGAACGCTTCGCTGGGCGATTCCGAGGCAACGCCCGGGGGGTCGACGCCCCTCCGCGAGCGACTGCAATAAAGGAAACCGCACAGCCCTTGCATAGGAAGGGAAGCGCAAGCGCATTCATTCGCTGCCAGAATCTAATGCTTTCTCGAATAGAACCTGTTGCTCTACAGAATCGAGGTCAACGCGCTTGAGAAACTGCGACGATCCCCACTCGCCAGCGGCTAGAATCGCACCCAGGGGTTCTCCCCGAGCAGCCATCTCCGTCGCCCTCCCCGCCATGGAAAATTTCAAAGTGTAAGACGGAGCATCCGGCACTAGTGCCAACGTCAGGGATCTCCTCTGGGCGCTCGCGAATGCGCTACTGTTTAAAACAAAGAGACGCCGGCCGATGCCCCGCCCTTGCAGGCAAGCGCTTAACCTGCGCACTGGACACAGGCGCGCCCCCGAAGCGGGGCAAGCACACTTCCTCGCTAGTCGGGGACCTGCGGGCCTGCGCTCGCGACGGCGCAGCATCAGGCGCAACGCGCCGCCTGCAAGCCAAACTGCGGAATGCCTCCCCACGGGAAGGTTGCCCACTTCTTGCGGTCCGCCTGATTCAAGGGGCACCCCCTCGGATTGCACCCGCAAGAGGGAAGCCCAGCTGATGACGGCCAACTCCTGGAAGCCATTGCACACCCGGGCCGCGTCAGCTAACTGTGCCACTCTGTCCAGACAGCGGATGTAAGCAAGCGCGCAACTCTGGCTGGCCCTCCTGCGAGCCTCAGCGAGCGCTTGGCCACTCCAGCTAAGGTCTGGCCGCGCTGCGCTCCCGTACCACGACGCGTCCAAATTCTGATGGACGCAAGTCCACTTCACGTACCCAGTGTAGTTGCTTGCTGCTTTCCCCGACCTGAGAATGGCAAGGAATTCGCACGCTTGGGTCTCTGAGCGCGGCGGCAGCGTTGCTTCTGCAGGCATGCCCAAAATGCGCACAGCGAAAGCGCGCCACGCCTTCAAGCCGCTCGACACGCTGGCAAGTGACGCCCGGGCAGACTCCGTCGTCAGTAAGTGAACGCGCTCTTTCAGAACGCTGCGCGGGTTGTGCCCTCGAGCTTTTGCCGCTGCCAATTTGCGGATGACGTCCATAGGTTTCGCGTTCTGGTCGAAATTCGCAACGCCCACGCTGTGGAGCTCAACCGACACGCGATCCTCCAACTCTCTCACAACCTGCGGTGATAAGGCGCCAGCGAAACTCTCCGCCGACGACGCGGAGCGGAAAGCATGATCCGCCAGGGAGGGGCCCGAAGCCCTCGGCTGAAGCAGTGCCGCTCGTTCCAGCAGGCGCCGCGTTGCCGCCCTCAACGCAGGAGAGTTAATGACGCCGTCAAGCTCCTCGGCCGCCGAACAACCGAGGTGAGTAATGTGGTCGAAGCCGCACAACGTGAGAATCATCCCCAAGCGCTGCCGGAGGTGACAAGGCAACGGTTTCGAATCCATCCCCTCCAAAACATCAGCCCGAACATTGACCGTGCAGAGGAAGGATTCGTTCTTGAAGCCTCTTAACTCACCTCGCACATCAGCTCCTAAGACGTCCAGAGAATCAGTACCCCTGACGTCGAAGAACCACTTCTGGTTCAGAACTCTGGAAAAGATCACAACTATGGGGTGCGGCGACCGTCTCCATAAGGACGCGTCCGCAGCCAAATGTCCAATGCCCGCCACAGCTAAAATATATTTCGTCACGCGGAGTTGGCCCAAACGCTTGGGCAACGGAAGCAGGCGAATGTGTTCACCTGAGATTAGCGCTGACAAAACCTGGTCCCGTAGGGATACGCTCTCTCGCACACTCAGACGGGCTGTCCACCTTTGATATGGTCCCGTGTGACTTCTGCGGAAGCAGCACGTCAGCGGCGCGAACTTGGGATGCTGACCACTTCGTCTGTCCTGCTGGTTTTCGCCTCTTCCTGCTGCTGTCTGGGGCCATGCCCCTCTACGAGGGGTGGGTGGGCGGTGAATTTTCGCTCAACCGTTTGAACCACCTGGGCCGACACGGCTACGGACTTGCGGTCAGCTCCGTGCTGGTGTCAGTCTCTGACCAGAATTTCCAGGTGAATCCGGCCGAGTCCACCAGAACAGTGAGCGAATCCTGCCGTGGCTCCGAAGGCCAGAAGCACCGGCGCCAGTGCTGCTGGCAGCGTCAGAGGAGAGACCGTCGCCGTAACTACGCTCCGCCGAGTGTCAGCGGAAGACATCCCGAAGGCGACACATCCTTTGACCAGAATACAAAGCGAATCCTGCCGTGGCTACCAGGATGTCTGGCGAACCCAGCCATGGCTACGAGATGCCAGAACCGGCGGTCCCGTTCCTGAAACGAAAGGATAGCGACTCCCTGTCGAAGCCTCGCCGCTCCGATTCAGCCGGCAGGAGAGATCCCGGAGGCAGTGCCTCCTCTGACCAGAATTACAAGGCGAACCCTGCCGTGGCCACCAGAATCTCTGGCGAACCAAACCATGGCCACGAGGTGCCAGAAGCGGTGGTTCGCACAGAAGGAAAGGAGCGCTACACCCTCTGAAAGCCTCGCTGCGCCGATGCTGTCGGCAGGAGAGATCCCGAAGGCAACGCTTCTCTGACCAGAGTTACAAGGCGAACCCCGCCGTGGCTACCAGAAACAGGCGAACCAAGCCACGGACACGAGGTGCCAGAAGCGGCGGCACCGCAACTGAAGGAAAGGGAAGCGATCCTCACGAAAGCCTCGCAGCTCCGATGCTGCCAGCAGGAGAGATCCCGAAGGCAAGCCTCCTCTGACTAGAATTTCAAGGCGCCCCCCCAAGGAAAAACAAGAGTCCTTCTGAAAAGGGAGCGACTCCT